CAGATAAAATAGCCTCACTCTAGCCCAGCACACCCGCAGGCAAATGGATAAGCAGAGGTCATGGTAAGAACAGTGCTACGCAACCTAAAGACAAGGCTTGAAAGAGCGAAGGGTCTTTGGGTGGACGAGCTTCCTGGAGTATTGTGGGCCTATCGAACCACACCAAGAACTCCTACTGGGGAGACTCCTTTCTCCCTCGCCTTTGGAACTGAGGCGGTCATCCCTGTGAAGATCGGAGTACACTCTCTAAGGGTCCAGCGCCACAACCCCATCACCAACGAGGAAGGACTCCGCATCAACCTCGACTTGGTGGAGGAGGCAAGGGCGACGGCTGTGGTCCGCAACGCGGAGTACAAGCGACGCATGGCAAGGTATTATAACTCGAGGGTAAAGCCTCGTTCCTTCCAACCAGGGGACTTGGTCCTCAAAAAAGTGATCCTCGCCACAAAGGATGCACGCGAAGAAAAGTTGGGATCAAATTGGGAAGGACCCTACCTCGTAACAGAAGTGGTGAGACTGGGCATCTACAGGATCCAAAATTCTGAGAGAAAAATCTTACTCCTTCCATGGAATGCGGAGCACTTGAAGAGGTATTATCAATGACACCCTGAGAGCATCAAAACAATGGAAATTAGGACTTGATTTTATTTTTTGGAGCTATTACCCAATATTCAATATACCTTTTTGAGTTTAAATAAGCAATAGATTAATAAAATTTTCTACGTTTCTACTCCAAAAAGATCTTTTGCATTTCATTTCAAAAGAGTATCAGTACAAAAATGAGACTATAAACTGCCTTCTTAAAAAAAAAAATCAAAAGTCCTAAACACTCTAAATGCTCTCACGGTCGTCCTCCACCTCCTCCTCGTCATCCTCAGCATTATCAGAGCCCTCATCACTATCATCAGTAGGCACAAAACCTGAGAAGTCAATGTCGAGAAAAACAGTAGAGATCTTCTCTCGGAGATCCTTGAAATCATCAATGAAAGCATCTGCGAGGCCATTCTCCAAGTCTTCCTAGCACGGGAAGCTCTCTCCTGAGCAGCCTTCAATTCTGCCTCCTTTCTGAGCATAGCCCTCTCATTGGCCACTACAAGCTCAGCCTCCCTGAGCACGTTCCTCTCATGGGTCATCAAAAGCTCAGCCTGAAGCTTAATTGTTCGCTCATGTGCCTCAATAAAGCTAACCCTCCCTGAGTGCGTTCCTCTCACAGGTCGCCAAAAGCTCAGACTTAAACTTGGATGCCCTCTCATGAGCCGCCACAAGCTCATCCCGAGAAGTACTACCAACTGCCTCAAACTCGGCAATCTTCCCCTGAGCAATAAGAAGCTCCCTTTGCACGACGTCAAAATCCAGCTTCAGCTTGTCGTAATTATAGGCTTTTGAAATCAAGCAGACAGATGAAGTCGAAACCTAAAGGAGATGAAAGGTGGAAAGGTGACAGGAGACTTAATAAGGAAGTGGAGAAAGGGAAACAGCAGACCCTTACCTGAGTCAGGTCTTCCAAATATGTGTTGACAATCCTCTCAGTGCTAGAAGTACTAAGCTGACAAATTTCAGGTGCGAACACAAACCTCCCAAGCCTTTCTCTGATGACTGACGGCCTGCCCATTATGGACCAAGCCAAGTCGGTCTTCTTTCGGGGGTTCCCGCATGAGGAGAGGACAAAGGAGGAGCAGAGGGTGTGCCCGACAAGGAAGACTCTAGAGTAGTAACTGAAGAAGTCGCTGGCTGGAGAGGTACCGCCATAGGTGTCACTTGGGGGGCATCACCCATCCTCGCCACCTTGGAGGAAGGAGGGTTCCTGCTAGAATAGCGAGACACTACCACCCTTTTACTTGTTGCGAAAACAAGAAAGTGTCAGGGAGGCGAAAAATACCAAGGGGAAGGAAAAAATTAAATGAGGAAACTAACCCACCCTTTTTCTTTGAGGAAGATCTGAGAGGGAGCAACGGCCCTAATATCCTTGGACAGAAAGGTTCCCAAATCTTTGCAAGGGCAAGCCTTGATGGCCTCCAACTTCCACTCCTGATCTTGAGAAAGCACATGCGTGTCTGAAAGGGAATGGTGAGCACATATACAAAAAAAAAAAAAAGAAGAAACAAATATACAACGTACCGGGTTTTTTGGCAGCACCACATCGTATTGGCACCAAAGCTCTGTCGGCTTCTGCAGCCCACTCTCCACCAACAAAAAGAAGCAAGATTTTCAGTCGTGACAATTAGAGCGCATCCCCATAAGCACTGTACCACTTCTTGTAGTAAAGTAGTACCACCTCCTATTTGGTGCAGGAGTTTTGCTCAAATTATATGCCGCGTGGAACTCCACAGGAGAAGTATCCTCATTGTGCACTTTCCTCCATAGTGCAAGAAAGCCCAGCAAAACTCTCCAACCGTTGGACGCTAATTACCCTGGAGTCAAAGAAAAGTAGCCCAAAATACGACAAATGGGAGAGGACATGGGGAATCTTAGCCCAACCTCGAGTATCTTCTCGTAAACAACAATATCACCAGAAAAGTCGTTGCAAGCAAGCTCGCCCAACTCAGCCTGACGGCACAATACGGTCGGAGGAATGCGATAAGTAAAAATAAGCCTCGAGATATCTTCATCCGAACAGAACAAACTGGAAAGGGTACTTACCTTAGACCCGTCATCATCGAGCCCCATTTTACCTTTGCACTTCTTATTTAAGCCACCATTTGGGAAGTCTTGAGGAGCTTAGATTGGAGGAGTCACAGTCAGATCCTGATCATTAGAAGCAGCACCCAAAACTTCTTTGTCGCGTGCAGTGTCAAGCACAACACTTGGAGGGATGCCTGACCGCTTTTGTTCGTTCAAACGAGACAACCCAACACTTAAAGAGGTGCCTGACCACATTTGCTCGCCAAAACAAAGCAGCCCAGCAACTGGAGAGGTGTCTGGCCCTTCAAAATTGTGCAAAACAACATTTTTGGCGCCTAAATCAGCTCCTACGGTCCAGATCAGTGTCTGGGGAGATGCCTAGATCTGCCCCTTCACCCGGGCTGCTGCCCAGCTCTCCCTGCTGCTCCTTGGGTCGATTTCTTGCATTTTCTGCTGCAAAAATACTACTGCCCAGCTCTCGAAAGCTGCCCAGGACAACAGAATCTGCGCTGCCCAGCGTGTCTGAGCTTTCCAGGACAGCAAAAATAGCCTCTACACTGCTGCCCAGTGCACCTGGGCTGTCCAGGACAACAGTGTCAGCACCTAGGCTGTTGCCCAGCGCACCTGAGCTATCCAGGACAACAGAACTAGCACCCAGGCAACTACCCAACGCGCCAAAACTTCCCAAAACAGCCTTCTTTTTGCTGGCCATTCCGCCTATGGAGTCCACCTTTCTTCCTGCATGCACACCCAGGCTCAAAGCCTTGCCAAAAGCACCAAAACCTACATAAGAGGCGCCTGAACCAGCACCCAAAGTAGTGCTTGGAGGCGCTTGCTCTGGCTGTTGTGGCGTGCGCACGGCAGCGGTTGACCGGGGGCTTTCTCCTCCTCCTCCTCCTTTAACTCTTGAAACTCCAAGGGCCCCAAGACTACCTCTCTTAGCCCCAATCTCATCACTCCTCATGGTACCAATGGAGTTTTTCTATCCCACCTCCTTCAAATCTCCAATACCCACTTCAAAAATTCCACCCAAGAAAAACCAACAAAATAATCTTGAAAGACTTCAAGTCTTGCCTCCCTTATCTCAAATCTCAATGGAATAGAAAGAACCAAGCTCAAAAGAATGGGCTCTCAAGTTTTTCAAGAGATGGGTGTTCAATCTTAAAGTGAATGAAATGGGTAAGAGAAGGTCATATTTATAACCTAGGGTTTTTAAAATAGGAAAAAGTCCAAATTAAAAATTATGGGCTCTCTTAAAAAACCTAGCAAAAGTGGAAAGAGTTTAAGGCATGCAAATCAAAAATGCATTATGGAGGGAAAAAGGTCATCTAGCAGAAGAAGTCTCCACCACTTATAACTCAATGAGCAAACTAATGCACCCTTCTCCAACTTTCCTTGGACACGGGACATTGGGGGGCAAATGATGGGTCAAGCCCAAAATGGCCCAATTTATTTGGAAAACCCAAACCTCAACTGAGCCCAATACTGTTCAAGTCCAGTCTCATTAGTTCGGCTACGTCATCAAGAGGACGAGTGTGGGGGCTTTACCTGCACCACAGAAGAAAACGATCCACCCTCGCCTTACCTGCACTACAAGAGAAAACGGTCAACCCTCGCCTTATTTTTGACTGCATCTCATGGAGAGCTCCTCAACCACCTCACCCGTTGAGAGGAAGTCGTGAGGTCCACCGAAATAGTTACTTAGTTGCTGAGAAGTAGTCCCAACCTGTTAAGGGGGCTACTATAAATTGCACGCGCCACCAACACTTGGGGGCATCATACTTTACCTGAGCACGACTCTCTCATCTCCCTCAAAGCTTGTACTATCTGCTCCCCACACCCTTGATTTAATAAAATACCCGGCAACCAGAGCCATTAAAGAGTGGACGTAGGTCAAACTGACCAAACCACTATAAATTACTTGTATCTCTCCATCTTTTAATATTATTCTTACATTTATTATTCACACTTGACAGGTGGTGTGTAAAACTATTTTATGCATCATCAATAATGAAAGAATTTTCCTTCGCTAAATCACAAAAATATACATATTTTTTCTCGTATTTCCTTTTCTATGTCTTTCACAATCTTCCAATTTTTCTTTGTAACAAAAATACTCAAATGGGACAACCTAACGGGCTAGTATTGGACTCTCATGAATCAAACCAACCACGTTGCCTTCTCATAGGCATGTGGATTAAAGGCCCATATGCCGACACAGGCCTAGCCCAACCAGATGTAACTTCCCGATTGAACAACGACAACTACGTAATTAATAATTAAAATGAAGGGCGGAATTGGAATAACGAAATTAAGAAAACGGTGGAAGAGTCCACAAGCGGGAAATCGAATTCCAATACCTTCCAGACTCGATGACTCAGTACTCTTCCCCCTCTCTGTCTCTCTCCTTTGTAGATAAGTATTCCCTCATTGTCCTTTCTGCTTTCAAGCAAATGCTTCATTACCAATCTCACATTCAACGACCAACTTGTAAACCCTAGCTCATACTGATCTCTCTATCTCTCTGTTACTCTTTCTGTTGCTTCGAATTTGGATTCTACAAGGTGGTGATAAGAAGTAATGGCGGACGTTCGGAGGCAAGAAAGTGAGACCTTCGCTTTCCAGGCTGAGATCAACCAACTTCTCAGCCTCATAATCAACACTTTTTACAGCAACAAAGAGATTTTCATTCGCGAACTCATCAGCAATGCATCTGACGTAAGTATGCATGAACAGATAGATGTTTTTATGCGTATATTATGGATTTAGAATTGAATTGTGGGAATTTAAGGCTCCAAATGGTTGAATCTTTGTCGGGTTTTTTTCAGGCGTTGGACAAAATCCGATACGAGAGCTTGACGGACAAGAGCAAGCTCGATCCTCTGCCTGAGCTCTTCATTAGAATCGTTCCTGACAAAATCAACAAGACCCTCTCTATCATCGATAGCGGTACCGGAATGACTAAAGCAGGTATTTATATGTTTATATATAAACCATATTTATATATACACACTAGAAAGTAGGAGTGTAACCTCGTCGTCCCCATTTTTGTATAGTGTCTGATTTAAAAAAAGAAAAAGAATATCATCCAAAAATGGACTCCAATTTTTTATTCTGTTTTCGGTATAAAATATTGATTTCTATCCACACCATTTATATTCATTGAATTGAACCAAATTAAAATTCTCAATTCTTTATGATTTCTAGATGATAAAATATTTTCAGGAACAAGTAAATTCGAATTATTTTTCTCTATTTCTAGTCATTCTATTTCCAGTCATTCTTTGATGTTTTGAAGTAGATTCATCAAAAATTCTTCTTATCAGCATATCCTTGTTCTCAATATCTTTGATTAGTTTGGCGTTTACACTTATGAACCAATGAAATACCTATGGTTTGATTGGTATATTATACATGTGTGTGCTTGTTAATGTGACATGATATTTGGACCTAGATATTGATGGAATTGGTCATTGCCTTGTGGATTAGATTTGGTGAATAATTTGGGGACTATTGCGAGGTCGGGGACCAAGGAGTTCATGGAGGCTTTGCAGGCGGGGTCTGACCTGAGTATGATTGGTCAGTTCGGTGTTGGTTTCTATTCATCTTTTTTGGTGGCTGAGAGGGTTATTGTAACGACGAAGCATACTGATGATGACCAGTACATATGGGAGTCTCAGGCTGGTGGATCTTTCATTGTTACTAGGGACGTTACTGGGGAGCGTCTGGGTAGGGGCACCAAAGTCACCCTCTTTCTCAAGGAAGATCAAGTATGGATTAGTTCCTTCCTTCTGTTGATATGTTGATGTGTATGCATGTTTGGATTGTATGTGTGTTTCAGTATATATGTACACACACTTTCCATTTTTATCAACAAAAAAAAGGTTTCAAGTATTGTAATTGTGCATTTGGTTTAATATTATGTGATTTATTCTTGTGCAGTTGGAGTACTTGGAAGAGAGGAGATTGAAGGACCTTGTGAGAAAGCACTCTGAGTTCATCAGCTACCCAATATACCTCTGGACTGAGAAGACTATTGAGAAAGAGATTAGTGAGGATGAAGATGAGGAAACCAACGAGGAAAAGGAGGGTGATGTCGAGGAAGTTGATGAGGAGGAAAAGACAGACAAAAAGAAGAAGAAGATCAAGGAAGTGACCCATGAATGGGAACTCATTAACAAGCAGAAGCCCATTTGGCTCCGAAAACCAGAGGAGATCACCAAGGAGGAGTATGCTTCATTCTACAAGAGCTTGACCAATGATTGGGAGGACCCCCTTGCTTGGAAACACTTCTCCGTTGAAGGGCAGCTTGAGTTCAAATCCATCCTCTTTGTCCCAAGGAGAGCTCCATTTGATCTCTTCGACACTAGGAAGAAGACAAACAACATTAAGCTCTATGTCAGGAGGGTCTTCATCATGGACAATTGTGAAGAGCTCATCCCCGAGTATCTTGGTTTCGTGAAGGGTGTGGTGGACTCTGACGATCTTCCACTCAACATCTCTCGGGAGATGCTCCAACAGAACAAGATCTTGAAGGTGATTAGGAAGAATCTTGTGAAGAAGTGCATTGAGATGTTCTATGAAATTGCTGAGAATAAAGATGATTACAAGAAGTTCGATGAAACTTTCTCTAAGAACATTAAGCTGGGTATTCATGAAGATAGTCAGAACAGGGCTAAGCTGGCTGATCTTCTCAGGTACTACTCCACAAAAAGTGGTGATGAGATGACCAGCTTGAAGGCCTATGTTACAAGGATGAAGGAGGGCCAGAAATACATTTACTATATCACTGGTGAGAGCAAGAAAGCTGTAGAGAACTCGCTATTCTTGGAGAAGCTCAAGAAGAAGGGATATGAAGTTCTGTTCATGATTGATGCCATTGATGAGTATGTTGTGACGCAGTTGAAGGAATACGATGGGAAGAAACTCGTTTCTGCTACCAAGGAAGGACTGACGATTGAAGATGAGTCAGAGGAAGAGAAGCAAAAAAAGGAGGAAAAGAAGAAATCCTTTGAAAATCTGTGCAAAGTAATAAAAGATATCCTTGGAGAAAGGGTGGAGAAAGTAGTTGTCTCGGATAGGCTTGCAGATTCACCATGCTGTTTGGTCACTGGAGAGTATGGTTGGACAGCTAACATGGAGAGGATAATGAAGGCTCAGACTTTGAGGGACAACACCATGGCCTCTTACATGTCGAGCAAGAAGACTATGGAGATCAACCCGGACGATCCCATAATGGGGGAGCTGAGAAAGAGGGCTGAGGCTGATAAGAATGATAAGTCTGTGAGAGATTTGGTGTTGCTGCTATACGAGACTGCCCTTCTGACATCTGGATTCAGTCTCGATGACCCAAACACATTTGCTGCTAGAATACATAGGATGCTGAAGCTGGGTCTAGGCATTGAGGAAGACGAGAGTGGTGGTGATGACACTGAGATGCCACCACTGGAGGAGGAAGTGAATGAAGAGAGCAAGATGGAGGAAGTTGACTGAGAAGATTGTCATCAGTTGGAGAGAGTAACTTCCATGTACAGGGTCAAGGGTTACTATGTCGATAGGAGGTTTCTGCCATGTTTCATTTTTCCTTTGTTCTCTTTCTTTTCTTTTTTTTTTTCGATCTGTACAGTGTCTGGCTTTGATCGTGGCTGTGATATGAGTCAGATGAAATGTTACCCTCCGGAAGGGACTTAGGTTGTAATATACAACCTGAATGTGATTTCATATCTCAAAAACCTCTCTCCCTGTACATGGTTTGTAGCCTTAGGAAGGTAAGTTCTCTATATTAGTGATAGATCTTAACAAGAGTCATTCCTCAACTATCCAACTTCCAAATCTGAACGTTTATGCTTGCACGTGAATTTATGCGCCAGGCCCCTGTGGTCTCCCTCTTTAACAGAGGATGCTGTGCAAACACCACACCCCACCACAGATTCTTCTGCCATCTGAAGGCTGTCTCCTTTGATAACTTGGATATGCATCAACATATGGAACCCAAAAACTAAGCTGTTCCATTCATTCCAAAATGCGAAAAGTTTGAGCATAACAGTAAGGCCTTCGTTAGCAATTCTCTTCTGGACTTCTATGCAAAAAATGTAGGCAGATTGAAGATGCTGCAGAACTGTTTGAGCATATGCCTACCAGAAACAGTATATCTCGTACATCTATGATTTCTGGTGATCATTGGAAAGGACTGGTGGTATCGCTTACAGTGGATGGGGAGAGTCGAAGGACTACCTTCCATAAAGAGTCATCGACACCAGATGTTGTGTGGTTGGGTGGGGTTAGGGGGACTTGGGTGCTTGCACCTTCTTTGGTAATGTGGAGGTAGGCCGAAGGGCCGCAAAGCTGCTTTCTATTTTGGTGCCAGACAGTAATGTGTGGAGGGTTGTGTTATCAAATAATTTGAGTGCTGGGAGACGGAGAGATGCAGGAGAGTTTAAAGCAGAAATTAGAAGATCAGAAGACCTCATGGAGGATGGAGGCAGTAACGGATTGGATTTAAGTTTGTTTTCGTCATAAATGCTCTCTCATGTCATCCAAAGAGCAAACTGAGCAAAAAGGTTTCTAATGAATGAGGTACATGAACACATTAGAGATGTTGCCACAACAGTTATTACAGACAAGCTTGAAAGTAAAACTCATCCAGACATTAAACATTGCAAACTTACCCAGTAGAATTTTAGTTGTACTTTAAATCTTACCCTTTTAAGGGGCTAGATTAGTATTTGAGTTCATATCAGATAATAAGTGGCAAAGGAATTGTCATAAACACATCAGCTTCACCACTTGACAGCATGATAATATAAATCATTCTTTCCTTGAGTGTTTTCAAGGCAACAGACATTAGGATATGCTCGATAAACAGTTTTGGTTTTTCCTGATACACTAATAACATAGAAAATAAAAATATTAAAGCAGTCTCCTCGACACACTCTTGTATCATATAGCTATCAGATAACTGATCCACAAACGCAATAAAACATAATTATCCTGCTCAAGTCTCGTACCCCTATCCACCAATTCAAAACTTTGAGATGCTAGGAAACAGCACTCAGGGCATATCCGAGCTAGTTGTCCCTGCACCATAGCCACCGGCTCCACGACCAAAGCCACCTCTTCCACCAGAACCCTGCTGAATGCAGAGCAATTAAACATATGTGAGCAAAGGAACAAGAGAAAATGTTTGTATCATAAAACACAAGCTCATGGCAATCACCTTACGATAACATATTAGACAAGTTTTTTATTCCACCAACAATGTGTGTACAAAGGATATATATCCATAGAACCTCATGCCTTGCCATACTATCTAAATCTCTCAGTCAAACCCAATTTACACCATCTTGTTGCATGTCATAAGGTGCTTATAAACATGGAAGCATAATATGTGCTCGCACCACAGATGTTATGCACATCATGCAATTATTCCCTAAGCAAAAACCAGTCTAAAAATTGACAGAAGTAATTATTTCCTCAAATACATCCGCTATTAAGCATCAAAAGCCAAACCAAACAAGTAACATGAAGAAAAGGACAAGAGTTTAAGGAAGCCAAAAAAAGTTTCAACGTATAATGTGCTTGTGGAGATTCTTTCAGTAACAGTGCGACATTTGGATGTCTAGCAGGGTAAGGTAAAAATTTCTAGAAGAAAAGAGTATGTATAAGGTAGAATAATGGCCAGCCAAACATGCATGCAAATTTATAATAACTACAATATTAAAGGAGAGTGCATGAATGTCATTGCATAAAAGGATAAATCATTGCATTTGGGTTAGCTTGAGGCTGCAAAAAAAGGAGAAAGGTGAGAAAACATTAACTATCAATCCTTCTTCAAGTTAAATTTCTGAGATAGTAGCTATTAGGGATCAATATCATGTCTCATATTTGCACAGTGATGAAAATGACACTCAGTTTAGTTTTCATTAAAGGAGCTAGGAGGGATCAGTGTTCGGAATTTGCATAACGCCTCAGATTTGCATGTTCCCCACCCAAAATTTTAGTTCTTATGAACAATACTGCCTCGAGACACAAAATCTCACTTGATGCAACAACTATTCCAATAACATGCTTACTTTTAAAATTTTGAGTCGAAATTCTTGTGTTTTTCAAGTTCTATTAATTCATTCTAAACTGGACTTTTAGTTCTTGAGGAATATGAGAACCAGGGGTGGGAAAGTCAGTTACCAGGGTTCAATACCTACTGCTTGAATGTAAAAAAAATAAAATAAAAAATCTCAAGGTACATGGTTGCTGACACTATAAAACCTTGAGACAAATAAGAGATGCTCAAATACAGCATCCCACCAAGAGAAGTACAGGAATCAATCCTAAGAAAACGCAATTCCGAAAAAAATAAGTAATGAATTTACCCTAAATGCAGGCTGGTAGTCAGCAGGAGCTCCACCCTTGTCACCAAACTCACCCGGCGGCCCTCCTCGGGGACCTCCACGGTATCCATCCCGATCACCAAACCTCGGCCTATCTCCTTCAAACCGCGGCGGTCCACTATACACAATTTTCAACAAAACCCAATTGAAATTACAATCAATCAAACAAACCCACCCCAACAAAAGAATCAAAAAATAACAAATCGCCAAAATTAACATACACATCAATGAATCAAATAAACCCAACTCAACAAAAGAACCCAAAAATAACAAATCACCAATTATTAACATACAAATATGAATACACGTGGAAATGAGGGTGTATTTCAAATTACCGGGGGCGATCACCAGGTGGGCCACCCATGGGGCGACCGAGTGGCCGGGGGGATTTCTTCAAAGTGGCAGGGACAATTTCGGAAGGCAAATTGAGGTAAGTTCTGAGGAACTCAATGCCGTCATTGGTTAAATACCAATAGTAGTGCATCCAAGCGAAGGTCTCGCGAACGTATTCTTTGGATTTGAAGCTCTGCATCAGCTTTATCACCTGTAAGTTCGGGACATCGATTTCAGGGTGTTTCGCCAAGTTGTAGTCCTTTTTCGCAAAGCAAACTCCTTCTTGGAAAAGGTACTTGGAGATCTCTCGGCGGTTCTTCTCTGTAATTATCATGGTTGCGAGAGCTGAAAACGACGGCGAAAACCTCCGGTAGGCTTCTAAACTGTTTATCTGTTGTTGCAGAGACCCTAAAGCCCTCGTTCATGAGGTTTTTATAGAGCGTAGCTTTTTTTTTTTTTTTTTGATCAAATATAGAGCGTAGCTTAGCTGTTGTACGGGCTGGATCCTAAGTTTGGCCCATCTACTACTCCCGGCTCATTTCCCCACGTTGTAGTCCACGTTTTACTATTGGGGCAAGGCCCAATTCTCAATAAAATCATAAATGTAAATGTATATCTATACTATTAATAAAAATATCTTACACGAAAAAATTTTGATTCATTATTTTACTCTCATAAAAAACTATAAAAGCTAAAATGTTATATATTTAAATATGTAAATTATCATTATATCACTCTATACTTAAATAACAAACTAGCATCTAACATATGATGTAAATCTCAATTTATATCTATATCTATATCACTAATAAAAGTACTTGATGAAAATTTTTTGAATTTCTTTTTACCCTTAAACAAAATTATAAGAACAATTATACCTTACATTAATAATTTCATTTAAAACTTTTGAATTTTTATTTTTTCCTTAAATAAATATATGAACACTTATGACTTAAATCATAAAAATTTGATACCCTTGAAGAACCCTGTAAATTTAATGATTGCTAAAATATAATTCATAAAAGTCACTACTTAAAAATAAAAATTTATTTTCTAATTTTATCCTAGTACAATTTATTAAAGTCTATATTATAATTTTCGTAAATGTGATTTAACAACAATATAAAATCAATATTATCCTTAATCTAAAGATTACTCTAATTGATTTCTCTCTTTTTTTTTATATAGATTCATAATATAAAACTAATTTTTTTTCATTAGTCTAGTATGTATTGTAACTTATTTAAGTTGTAAACCTTGTAGATTCTAAAAATAGTGTAAACAAGTCTTAAGAGTAAATATCAAATTATAACAACAATTTTTGAAATTTATACGAAATCAAGCCATTTAAAAATTTGACTTTTGAACTTTCCATCATGTACTAATATCTTATATATTTAGATAAATCTAACAATGAATTTAGAATTAAATTTCTTTAATTAGAGATAAGTTAGTCTTGAGGATTTTTTTAAAATTCTAATCCGTCAAGATAAATGTTGCAAAAGAAACAAATTTTTGTAGTTGAAACATGTACGTCTTCTATCTATTGGTTTGTGTTATGATGATTTACTTGACTATCTTGTGTTCTATTATAAAAATACAATATATTTTGTGGCGATTTTATCAAATTTTTCTCTCGCAAAGTTTGTATTATCGTGATTCATGCAACCAATGATTATGGACTCTTAGTAAGTATAGTAGATTTAGCACACAAAAACATATAATCTCGATCAATCAGCCTTTCTAGTATTCATGGGGTGATCAATCAATTTTGAAATAATCAATTTAGCATGCAGTGTAACTTCTTAAAACATTATTGTGGTTGGAACACATAGCAACATATAATATATCCAAACAACAAGTATCAAATGACATATATTTTGATTCGTAGTTATATATATTTAATTATTTCAACATACTTATAAGAAATAATGTCATTGCTATAGATTTAACTTGTCCACGTGCAACATATATACCAATGTGTCAAATGATAACTTCGCATTAAAAATATTGTTGATAAATAAAATTGTATATTCGTCTAATAGGAGTATGCATTGATAAATCAATATTATAAGTTTAGCACAATGCATTTATATTAAAGAACAAAATATTTACAGAGAGTTAAAGAAAAATTCAAAAGAGGACATAATAGAATCCTAAAAAATGACGACATAAAAAACTAAGTCTTATATTTGGGAAGAATTGTCTACTTGACCAAATTGGTTTGATTATTAATTATTTTTAAACTTTGAAATAGGAGATTGTTATGGTAAGTATGTGTGGGTATGTGACCAACGTATTTTACCATATTTATAATTAAACTATAAAATAGGACTCATAAATTACAAAAATCACATTTTAAGGCAATTTTTGATAATATTCCAGTTCTAAATAAATTAACCTATTTACCGATATGATAAATATAAAATCAAAACTATTATAAAAATAATTCACGTGTAATGCACGTGTGCAATATCTAGTATTTATAAAGCTTTTAGATGGTCATATTATTCTTAACAGAGTTTTTAAAAAACATATATTTTTTTTCAAAAACCCAAATATTAATACACATCGACAACTTCATTTATATAATATTATTTTTGCTGCCAAAAAATTAATATATGTATATTTTTCTCTTCATCCACAATACAAATAATTTAAGTACGATAAAAATGAGATAATATCTAATTTAGTTATATAATTAAATTTTGGGTTAAAAACACTTTTAATCTCTAAAATATGTATTTTTTTTGTCAATTTAGTTATCATTGTATTAATTTTATTAATTTGGTCCATAAAATATTCAATCCATGTCACTTTGATACCGAATTAGATAATCCGTCAAGTTTTTTTTACCACATGTCATTTTTTGGACGATATCATGGCCTGACATGTGATCACTCCGTAAAAAACTTAACAGTCTGTCTATGTAGGGACCAAAATGACATGAATTAAATACTTTAGGGACCAAATTAACAAAACTGATCCAATGAGTATTAAACTGATAAAAAATATATATTTTACGGATCAAAAGTGTAATTAACCCTTAAATTTTTATATATTTTATCAATTTTTTATGCATTGCTAGTCATTAAATTGCACATAAGACTAATAATCAAGTCGAGTTTTATAAGTTTAAAAAATTGTTTGAATTCGACATATTTAGAAAATGAGGCAAACTCGAGTCAAATCCCAAATGAGCCGAACCAGAGTTGTGCCCGAATAACTTGAATATTTTACATATAAACGAGCCGAATTTTTTAAAAATTGTTCAAGTTCAATTTTTAGACTACAAGTTAAGCTCGAGTCAAATCCTATTTTAACTGATTTCAAGCCAAACTCAAATAATTCGACTTAATTATCAACCCTAATTGCAGACACTTGAATTTACGTTGTTAGTTAAAGTCTAAAGGACGTTTGAGAATGAGTAGAATAATTCGTAATTATTAAAAATCGGAATAACTTGAATTACAAGATCAATAATCCGAATTTGTGCTCTATTAATTTCACTTTTAATTTAATTTAATTTTATCTTTTAGTTTGTTTTAATGGTCTTCATCTTTTTGTGAAATTATTTTAATATGTTATTGTGATTCGGATTGATTTTCTATCTTTGATAAATAAGTTGGAAAGATCATTTGTCCGTTGAACTCCAGTATTTTTTTTTTATAAAATTCGATGCTAGAGAATTCGTTGTTGCAATCACGGATTTTGAATTTTTTGAGAAAAAAAAAAAAAGAACTTTGGAAAAGAGATAACAATAACGAAAAATACACCTTTAAATGTCAAGTTTTACCCTTTTTTTAAAAGAAAAAGTTATAATTATTCACTATTGATCACAATATTTTATGATCAACGTAATCATAAAATATTTTGATCGATCATGAATAAGCTTAAATAAGTATGATTTTACTTTTAAAATTATATTTTTTTATAATCGATAACAATATTTTATGATCAATGATCATTATTTAAATTATAACTTAAACCCTTAAAATTTTAACTTAATTTTAAAATGTTTAATATGACATATTCTTCCCTACCATCGTCGTCCTCAAACTTGGTATCTCTCAATAATATTGTCCGAAAATCTTAAAGTCCGAATTATTTAAGGAATTATTTTAAAAAGATACTTTAATATGATAATTGAGACGAATTGTAAATGTAAGTGTCGTGAATTTAAATTTTGATAATCTCTTAAAACTAGATTATTAAGAATTTATTTTGCATGTACACCCTAATCTGTTTTTGATTAAACCAAGAAGGAATGGGTAGACAAAAAGAAAAAATTGTCCGACGAATTCTCCCACATATTTATTCTTACTTCCATCGATTTTCCTTTCGTATGCAATAGGGACATGAGACCAGACTGCTACTTGGTGGAGGACAGAGCTGTTGGGCGGAGAACACGATCGAGCTTGTTTAGGGACCTTTTTTTCATGCTGACTGGGTCCCAAATAGATGTGAGCCGTCAGGTTCGTGGACTCCAATATCATCTAACGGCTCTCATTTTATTTGACGTAAAATTTTGAAACACATAACATTGAGGTCATTTTTAGAATAGGGAATAAAAATTCCAAGTCAGCGCCCATTTCGAATACAAGGAAGAAGAAACGGTCGTCGTCCCTAACAAGCTGTGACCATGGCATCCATCCAGCTAACAACGTATATAACTGCCAAGCCGACTCCTCCTCCTAGACATCTCTCTTTCTCTCTCTCAACCTTCTCCTGAAACTATATCCTGAATAACCTACCATGCCGGTGACGGACAACCAAGGTTCGTTCCTGAACCGAATAAGCATTCGCCGGAATCAGGTAGTCTCCATGGACGGCAATCACGAGCAAGAGCTCGAAGATATCGAACTCTTCCAAAAACACATCGTCGAACGCTTTTCCGATCTCCTACCCTCCTCCACCCCCCACACTGACGCCGATCCTTCTGTAGACTCCACCATATCCGATACCCTCCTTTCCATTTCATGGTTCCGCAAACTCCTAGATGCGTTTCTCTGCTGTGAAGCGGAGTTCAAGGCCGTCCTCATCATGGGTCGCGACCCATCGCAGTTTTCGAAGCCCCCTCTCGATCGTCTAATCCCTGAACTCCTCGACCGTACCATCAAAGCCCTCGATGTCTGCAATGCCATTACTCACGGCGTTGAACTTGTCCGTCAGTGGCAAAAGCTGGCCCAAATCGTCGTATCGTCCTTTGATCAACAACCAATCGGAGAAGGCCAAGTCCGACGCGCCAAAAAAGCCTTGAACACATTACTCACCTCCATGATGTTCGATGATAGAGAGAGCTCCCATGGTAAGTCGACGGAGCGAACTTGGTCGTTTGGGCGGCGAGGTGGTGGCGCCGCCGTGAATTTGAAAGATCGTGCGGTCGGAAATTTCCGGCCATTGTCGTTGTCAGTGGCTAAATCTTGGTCCGCCGCTAAACAGATTCAGGCGATTTCAGCCAATTTGGTGGCTCCACGTGGAGGTGAGGCTACCGGGTTAGCTTTGCCGGTTTATACTATGAGCACTGTGTTGGTGTTTGTGATGTGGGCTTTGGTGGCGGCGATTCCTTGTCAGGAACGAATTGGGCTGGCGACCCATTTTCCGGTGCCGAGACAATTGAGCTGGGCCCAGGCGGTGATTGGACTGCAGGAGAAGATAGGGGAGGAGTGGAAGAAGAAGGAGAAGAGAGGGACAGCAGGGTTGTTGGAGGAGGTGCATAGGATGGAGAAGGTGGCAGTGTCGTTGTCGGATTTTACGGAGGTGTTTCAGTTTCCGGTGGAGGCGGAGAAGGCTGACGAGGTGGCGGTGCTGGTGGCGGAATTGGCGGAGATTTGTTCTAAGATGGAGGAAGGGTTAGTGCCACTCCAGCAACAGGTTAGGGAGGTGTTTCATAGGATTGTGAGGAGCAGGGCTGAGGTTCTTGATGTAGTTGATCAAGTTGGTAAGTTATCAACACCAGTTCCATATTGAGACTCCAAAAGATACATGAATTTAGATTGCAGTTGTAATTGTCCAAACAATGTTGTTTGTCCCATTTAGATCAATGGGTCTGAATTTTTTCTCCCTTTTTGTTATTGGTTTTTCCTGCCCTTTTTTAGAACAGTTCCAAATCTTGAAGGGGTAGAGAATTTTTTTATTTTCAATTTGTGGGGGATATTGTTATGATACCAGGTTTAATGCATCCGCTGCATAAACCAACACATTATGGGTCTCTTTTTAGGGGGTATGGTTCAGGCTGTAACCTGTTGATGAAGCATTCACTGGTTTCTGTGAAATGTGCTCTCTTTGTTTCATATGTTGTAGTGTTCTGTTGAAAGAGCAGACGACTCTGTTAAAATAAATGTATATACCATTTTTCATTTTTGTGTATTCTGAGAGGTGAGAAATTGTTTTTCAGAGTTGTTCAAAATGCGGATGTGAGATTGTTTGACATACTTCTGTTACATAAATGCCTAGAGGAGATGGAAATGATGAATGAAATACTGTGCTTCACCTTCTCTGTTTCGGTTTAGCTCATTTATTTAGCACATTAACCTGTGACACATCACAAATTTGACCTTTAACTTGTGTACTTAAATCTCTCCTTGGCTCATGGTATTTGGCAGTTAAATGATACTGAAATCTTTAGGGGTGCTTTGAGTAATCTTTCCGAGCATATGTAGTTTCAATGTGCACCAGACAAATTATCAGGACAAAACCCTAAGAAGTAATTCCAAAAGAATACTGGAACCCAAGGTCTCCAATTTATGGAATGGACTCATGACCAACCAAGGATCAAAATTTCGTTTTGAAGTACCGTTTCGGTCAACTCAAAAATAGAAACGTTTCGGAAACATTTCGGAAACGCAATGGAAACGCAGAAAAAATATGGAAACGCATAGAAACACAAATGCAATCCATTAATTTATAAAGATATGCTAAATAATTTATTAATTCAACATATTTATTAGGTTAACATCAATTTATACAAGAATAAATTTAAATTTGAGGAAAAAAAGGCTTGACTTGAGACGAAAGTCACTTAAATTAGTTTCAAACACTTAATTTTTATGAAATAAACACATTTTTACATAATATTAAGATCTTATAATACACATGAAATGCTAATGAGTACATACTTACATGGTTACATCCATTCCCCTGTGGAGTGTCGAGCAGGCTCATACATCGGTGTAGGCTCTGGGTAGCTACTTAGAGAAACTCTATATGTGACATAAATATGATGACAATAGTTACTCCAAATCATATTATTACGGTAATATAATCCAATTAATAATACTATTTTATTATAATACTAATAATGAAGGGTATCAAATTAAATTAATGATACTTATGTATACTTAAAAATTAAATGTAATTGCAGTGGGTATTAAATGTAATTACAGTAGGTATTAAATATAATTACATTAGGGTATTAAATGTAATTGTTAATACTTATAACCAAAAAAAAATAAAAAACTTGCACAGCAGTGAGGTATTAAATATAATTATAGTATGTATTAAATATAATTATAATGGGTATTAAATATAATTATAGTAGGGTATTAAGTGTAATTATTTATTCTTATAACAAAAAAATTATAAAAGACAGAAGAGCAGTGAGAATTAAATGTAATTATAGTGGGATATTAAATATAATTATAGTGAGTATTAAATGTAATTACAGTGGGTATTAAATGTAATTATAATGGGATATTAAATGTAATTATTCATAATGAACCGAATATATCACTGTTTTGTCGAAACGGTTCGAAACAATGCCGTTTCGACCGAAACGGTCCGAAACAGTACCGTTTCGACCGAAACACTGGAATTTTGTGATTCAACTACTGTTTCGTTTCGGAGTGTTGAAATTCCGAAACGTTTCGGACGTTTCGGACGTGTCGACACGACATTTTGATCCTTGTGACCAACTTATCCATTGTTCAATATTGAAATGGCTCCCATTAATCCCCAACTTTGTACTCTTTAAACCTCTGATGATGATCAACAGCCTCTTTGTAGTGCTGCTCCATTAGATTGTCTAGCAAACCGTTAGTGATTCCAAGTGCTGTGACCACTTCACTAACACCCACAGAACGAGGAGAAGGTGGTCTTCAATGATGAACTGCTTCATCTCGGACTATTGGCAGAACTTTCTTGTTTCATACGTATTTCTCCCTCCGAAGTCATATTACAAAGAACACAGTGCGTAGATTAATGGCGAATATGGCGAACACACTGTCACTGATGCACGAACTTCCACTTTGGTGTACTTGTCTGAATTGTGTTCCTCGGCCTTCTTCTGAAGGAGCCATGGCGTTTCATCCCATCTTTCGCTGACGAGAATCAAGGGTAAGTCACTCTCACCTGTATATATAATTTTACGGGAGTGCTGCTAGATATGACACTCCAACTTTGTCGAGCATGGATTGGCCAATGGAAAGCTTTGCATTATGTCTTAAGAGGTGCTTTCCTTTTCTTGCTATTAAATGCACATTTTCTTTAAATTACTTGTGTCATTTGGAATGAAGCTGGGATAGCAGACAACATCTTGTAAATGCCATTTTCATGGTTGGTGATAATTCTGCTTGCTCTTTGAACTGCTTGCATTGCTGAGAATGGTTTTGCCTCTTGAAACAATGTGATATAGATTTTGGAGCTTGTTGACCATGGGACTTCTAGATGCACATCTTAATATTAAAATTCTAGTTGAGATGATCACATTTGTTAAGTGTGGCACCCTAATGGTACTTGTATCTTGTAAATCACTATTTATGAAGCCTTTTCATTTTTGTCTAGATGTTGTATGAGAATCCTGTGACAGGTATTGTTATTGAAAAGCAAACTTGAAGAACAAATTCAGGAAAGCTGCTCAAGTATGGTACACTTGTAATGGCTATAGGATGTACATACAGCCTCCAAATAATGTTATTTATATTCACTTGGTGCACACAGCTGTGCAGCTAGCCCGAGAGGGCTACAGGGATACACGTTTTACATGGAGAACCAATAGTTTGTAGATTGTTTAGAATTCTAGGACCACAACACTCAATTGTCATCATCATCTATTTTTTTGCCTGATACTTAAACTTGAGAAAACATTATTTCTGAGCCTCTGGCTCAGTTCTTAATTTGATTCATTTAAAACAAGTGGCTGGACAATGATGACTTCGTGACTTTTGCAAACTTTTGGGATTTATTATATTCTTTGTCAGTTCCAATGAGTCAATATGCTGGCTAAAATGATGAGAAATACTTAATCTACCTTGGCTTCAGATTTCAGGAGAAAATTAGAGGAAACTTACATGGTGTTCACTGTATCCAGGATGTTGAGGATGCTGATTCATTGATACCAGCGATTGTAAAGTTAGTTCATTGTTCTTATTTTCTTCTATGAGTCCTGACTTCTTATACTTCCATATAAAATTGAGATTTATGAAGCATGTTTGTTTGGTTTGATTAGGCTTAAAGAGTGGAGTAACTCGAGATGCACCTGGTTGTAATATAAGAGTCAAATTATTTCCTAGGAGAAATCACAGAAGTTGAAGTTGTGGATGGCGGTGGTTATATTGGCCAGGAGGTTGTAGCAGCTGCTGTGGGTTGGAAGCTTGATACAACTGTGAGTACTTATATGGCATTTTTATTCTTCTATGCTAATACTCTCCAATTCCATACCTTTTTGGATACTTGGATGAACAAATTTTAGTCTTGGTCTTTGTTAATACTGTGATTATATGATGACTAAGAAATTGTAACGCCATTTGCTTGAATTCTAGTTCATTGTTGCTCAACAAAGCCTTTACCATGGGTACCAAATAAGCAGAATTGGCTTTATGGGCCATGTGGGCTGGTATTTTAGTGCTGCATCTATCTCAAGTTCTATAGCATCATGTCTTATATCACTTCCTCATCCACAAGTTTAAGTTAACCTAGTTTTTTTGTTTATTTTTGAAAAAGATATAGCATATTTCCAGAAAATCATCCTTTGCAAAGGTTTTTTTCTCTATCAGTTGTCGGAAATATGAAGAACTCTACCATGAAAATAGTGTCAAATTCGTGAACGCTGCATAAAGTGTCTGCTAACCAAGTGAACATACAATTATTTACAGTCGGGTTTCCCCATTGAAAGTTCAGAAGATGGTTCTGATGGACATGTAGCAGCTGTTAAACTCCAAAATGGATCACTTATAGAAGTGGATGCGTTAATGTATTGCTAATATAGTGGATTTTTTTTCCTTTTTCTTGTTCAAACTCACATCCTTGACAAATTGATTTTGTTCTCTTTCATTCTGCACCATAATTTTCAAAGTCAAATCCAATTTGGGTGACCTTGTCTCAGCACTATTCTCTCTTCCTATTACATGTGCAGACTGCTATAGTTATTGGAGCAAAACATGATGTTGGACCCTTTGAAAGTGCCGGCTTGAATGCCACTGTTGGTGGAATACAGGTTAGCACTGTGGTCAACTAAGTTTCTTTTTAAGAGACCTTTTTTTTTTTAAAGAGACCTCATCCCTCAAGTTTCCATGCTTGTTTAAACACCTTGAAACTGATTGCAAAAACAGTGAAATCGGGCACATTAAAATTACCTGCATGGGAGGCCCATAAATATGATGTAACTTCCCTCTTGCGGATAATTTCATAATCTATCTTCTCATCACTAAACTCACCTCGTACCATCTCTGAAGCCAATGACTTCTAGAGCCTCTTAATTATTTGAATTTGGTATATTCTGTTAACTAGGATTAAGATTCTTCCAAGTTGCATTTAGAAAAGATTTTATGATTAGTTTTTCAAAAATAAAGTCATTTTCTAATTTAAAAGGTGTAGTTTGTGTCTTCAAATGATCAAACAAAAAGTTTTTTAAATAAATTGCGGACGTACTTGCCCATGTTATGCACTTGACAAGATTAAAGCAACCATACAAATAGTTGTCAACTTCTATTATTGAATAATCTTTTTTTTCAGTTTGGTCAAAAATAAGTTATTCACGTCAGGATTAGGGTATTTACGAGGAATACATTTCTCATAGTTTGACCCCAATAGATTATTAAAATTTGAATTTATGATATCCAAATTTATAATTTAACTACTCGTGATATTAGGGGAATAATTGTAAAAAATGGAGTGACAGACATTGCACTGCAAAGGCCGTTCTGGTGCAGAGTGAATGTTTTGGTTTTACTCCATCCGTACATATCATTAACTTTCTGTCAATAATAAAACGATTTTTATTAAGAATTATGAAGTTGATTAAGGGTTTTATTTAGAATAAACTGAGTTACAAGTTGCTTAAATATGAAATTAGATGGCAATTTAAACTATTGATTTGTTTAGAATGAATTTTATTGTTATAATCAAACCAAAAAGAGCAAAAAGCACACTCAATTTCTTGTCGATCATAAAGGAAATAAATCATGTTCCATAAATCTATTATCATTCCATAACGACCCCTAATTATTATATTTGAATAAGCAATTATCTTTTATTATTTTTTAATAAAAAAACACACACAAATCAACATCCAAACTTATGGTACCATAGAACATCTTCAACAGATTATCTAAAACACACAAAATCTTCAAATTTTAGTTATTTAGCCCAAAAATTCTATTCTAACAGATTATTTTTAAAACATCTAAAATAACATTTTGTTACAGTGATACTTTAAATATAGTGTATTACTGTAGCGATATGTAAAAGAAATGCACGATATATTGAAAAAGTGAGTAATTAAAATAAAAAATATTATTTTTTAAATAACTAAAATAATTTTTGTTGTTGGAGATGCTAGGTAAAAGGAAGTTGAATTACTTTCTAACTTTTTTTTGTGGGGCAGGTAGTGGGAAAATATGACGAGAATAGCTCTTATTTGACGGTGGGAGAACAAAAGTAGAAATTGGATTGTAATAATAATAATAATAATACTATTTGGACTAAAATTACTGATATAATTTGTTAAACTTAATTTATTCTAACTATTTCATTGGTTGTGAGTTTCAATAAATATTTTAGTTCACGGTCAATCCAATGATTATGACTAATTAAGTTAATAAATTAGAATAAATTAATTCCAAATAATATCGTTAATTTAATAATCTATAAAGACAAATATATGATTTTTTTAATTTATACGCATTTTTTTAAAATTAATAACTAATTGAATATTTTTAAAAAAATTAAGATAAAATGGGAAGGTAAGTTATTGAATACAATTTTCTTTTTTTTTTTCTTGTGTTTTTTTCAGGAAAAAAAGTTAGTTAAATGTGAGAAAATCTAAACATGAGAGAAAATTATTTTTTTATTATTTTTTATTTTATGTTAAACAAACGCATGTAAAATTTTAAAATTTTACTCTTTCTTATATTTTCTAGCATTTTCTTGCTAAACAAACGGATCCTTATAGAATTTATTTGTGACATTTTTTTCTAAAATTTTTCTGGTTAGCTATGAATTTTACCTGAAATTTTTCTAATTTTCTAGTTTAGCAATGAATGAGAAAATATAAGGAATTGGTTTGAACTAAAAACACGACGTATGAAAATTTGTGAATTGTGGTTAAATTAGTTAAAGTTAATTGAAATATTTAATTAAAATAGAAAACATTGTTAGAGATAATTAACAGTAGTTGCTCTTTAAAATAAATAATATTATAAAAAAATATATTTTGACCAATTATTTTATCTAGTATCCTTGGAATTGTTCTCGGCAATATTAACGGAGAGTCAGATAGGGGATCTATATGTGACACGCACACAGACTTTAAAGGGTGTAAGTGTTATATTTTAAATATAAAGAAGTATACATAATTAAATGATAAATCTCAAAAAAATTTGGCGTAATTTACCCTAAAATTTTTAATACTTAATAGGTATATATTAAGTCATCATCATGATCTTTGGATTTTAGCCTTTTAGGTGTATATATTTTTTTTGTAATGGACAATATACACTGCTACGATGTGTGATGGTACGTCAGTTTGTTAATTTTAAGTGGTCTTTGTTGAGCACCGACTCATTGACTAATGACTATTCAATGTGTCCCACTCAGGTCCACTACAAGTCGGGCCCGACGTAGTGGGCAAGTTAACGAGGATCCAGCATTCGGGTCCCACAGGTCACACCGTGAGAATAAACCTACGCTTAGGTAATTATGCACTAGGCTAGGTGCGGATGGATCGGCCGTTTGGCGCGTGTTCTCCGTCGTTTTTATAGTAGTATCTGATTGGTAACAAATGAATGGTAAAATCAAATTTATATTCACGTTGACTTGACGACTTCTATTTCGACTTCCAAATTGCACAACCACAACCGTTAGTGGACTGTTGAACCTAATGCTTTAAATTTATAATTCGAGTTTGAAATTTTGGTTGAGTCGCTATTTACACAATTCAATTGGAATATGGGTATTGATCGCATCTTGAATATGCTTAAAATTGAAATCGACAACACAAGTTATGTTTATTTAGGTTGGGAGTTCAATTTATTTACGCTGCCTATAAATTTTAGTTTTAATCCTCGAGTTTCCTATATTTGCATCTCATAAAAGGCAACATAGAAGACAGTTGACTCTCAATAGGCATCACCACGATAACGGTAATTATTTATCCGGACAGAAAGTTGATAACTGTTCCAACCATCACCATAGTCGTTGCCTAATAAAAGCAACCGTTACAAGAAAAAGTAAGAATCTTGCTAAAAATTAAACAAAACTCAGGATTAACTATAAATAGGGGACATGACCCCTAGCGGTAAAGACAGTCAATTGCAGCCTCACTCAAATACTCTCCGTAAAATTCTCAATTATCAATATATTCTCTAAGAGCAAGAAACTCCTTTGAGAGTGAATTACTTAAACTCTCGAACTGATGAACCACTATAAATTTTCTGTGTGAGAATTTCATTCCCTTGATTCTATTATCAAGAATTTTGGAGTTCAGACTGAACTATTCAGTGCACTGTGTATTTATCTCGCTATTTTATTGTGCTACGAACATCATCAGGTATAATTCTAAATTTACGAATTTGAATCGATTCTTAGTTTCAAGTTGAATCTTGTTATGAATTCGAATTGAGTCGTGAGATTCGGGTTCAATTCTAAGTCCATTAATTTGAGTTGGATCTCAAAAATTCACAAACAATTTGAATGTTATCAAAATTTAGGTAGGATTGGAATGTGTTTTTGCTCAAGTGCAATCCTATTATGAACAATTTTTGCTCAAATGGTGAATTTTTTGGATTAAAAAAACAGTTGAACTCCGGTTTGAATTAACCGGTTCAAATTGCAGCCAAAAAAAAAAAAACTTTAGTGATGCACATGTAGAAGCAATGTACCTTTGTATTCAAGCCAAATAGACTTTCATGGGACCCATGACACCGATGCATAGAAGTGTGCAAAATCATGTCTACGGTCGTCCAGTGATTAAATATGTCCTGATATAAATAAGAGATATTAAATTTGATATTTTTATTTATTAAAGGACATGTCCTTTAAATTAACTGAATTTATAATAACTAATTCAAAATTTAAAAGAATAGTCGATATACTCCTCAACATCTTATAATTAAAAAAGAAACATCCGACGATTCAACTGTCAAAGAAGACAACGTCCGATCTTCCACCTTGACGCGCAAAAGGGTAATCATTTCCTTCCTTGGTCTCTCTCTCTCTCTCTCTCTCTCTCTCTCATGTAAAGTTGCCTCGTTTTGTCAATAGTTTAAGGAGTCCATTTGTCTTCTCTGACTTGTTCCGCAAGGAATTTTCTTCCTCCTTCGTCTGCTTGTTCTGTCAGTTCATATATATATACATACACAGACGTATGCAATCCTTGTGAACAATTTCTAGTTAACTTACAGAATCCTGGTCAGAATTCGAAGTCGAGTGAAATGAAGGTGAAACTTCCTTCCCTTTCTTACAAAAATTCTGATGCTTTGCTTCTTGAACCCCCCCCCCCCCCCCCCCACACACACACACACAGAGACGCATTAAAATTATGCTATTTCGTTGTTTTTCTTGGGACGAGCTAATAAAAGCATGGTCTTCTGTTGGGTTTTACTCTGTTTCCTGTTTACATGTCAACTCTAATTGATTTCCTTCTTGTTCTGTTCTTCTTCATGACCAATATTAGATTTGGGATTTTTAAAAATTAAAAAATGAGGTTTATGTTTAATGGGTTTTAAAGTTTTGAGACCCTAGTTTAATTCTTAAAGAGAATCAAGTCGAATTTTCCTTCATTTTCTTAGAAAGAGCATGAATCTTTCTCCCCACTGCTCTGTTTTTTTTCATGACCACCTCTGGTTTATGAGTGGACCATCTGGGATCCTGAGTGGGCTTTCACTATTCGCGTCCTTTGAATAAATCAGGATCTTTTCAGATGTTCAATTTTTTGAAACAGTAAAAGAATGTTTTTGTTTTTTGGTCTGATTGTGTTGTGAATTATTGCCTAGTTTACTTTTTAGACCATAGCCAATTACTAGTCTTTTTGGCATGGTAATGACTGCTGTTGGTCTTTTTTTTTTTGTTGCAGAAAGTAGTGTTGAGTTTAGATTTACATGATGATAAAGCAAAACAAAAGGCCATGATAGCAGTGTCTAGCATTCCAGGTACTGAAATTTGGTTGACCACAATTTGATAGCTTGCGATTCAATAGAAAATGACCCTTCATTTGTTTCAGATGCACAGTCAAATTGGTAATCAGTGGACTAATCTGCTTTTGATCTTGTGATTTTGTGTAGGAATTGAATCGATTTCTATGAGCATGAAGGATAAGAAATTAACGGTGGTTGGCGATGTTGATCCAGTTGTGGTGGCCAGCAAACTGAGAAAATGGTACCCAGAAATATTAACAGTTGGGCCAAAGGAAGCAGAAAAGAAAAAAGATGAAGGTAAGAAGGCTGAGGGAAAGAAAGACGATGATAAAAAGAAGGATCCAAATGAACAGATTGCAGACCTTGTGAAGGCCTACAAAGCTTACAATCCTTACATGACACAGCACTACCATGTTTACAGTGCAGAAGAGAATCCAAATGCTTGTGTCATCTGTTAATTGTCAGAACAAAAATAGAATTGATGAGCTTTACTGGTGGTGGATTCTATCATATTGAAGAACCCATTTGAGACCTAGGAGAATGGCTCTATGTACAGTTGGTGGTTGGTTTGTGTGATGAAATGTATAGACTATACTGTACCGTAGAGGAATAAATTTTGGGTTGATTTTAGATGAAGTATTGATACTATTTTGTTAATCTGAGTGCATCTTTTCAGGGCAAAAAATTGTAAAAAATAAAATCCTTTTAGTTTTTGTCTTCTTATTTTGTTATCCTTAAAATCTCAGGAGAAAGGGCCAGCCATGCATTCATAAGTCTAGTCTAGGGATTGTGAATTTTGTGATTCTCTCTTTGATTACCCATTGTGGTCCATAGGAAAAGAGAATATAGGAAGCTGATCCAAAAGTTAATGGATCATGATTTCTCTCTCTTTAGTCTTCCCCACCCCGACCCTCACCCCCACCCTCACCCTCACCCTCACCATCACGCCCACGCCCACGCCCACGCCCACGCTGTGGGAGTGGAGGGACGGTTTGGGGGAGGTGTGCACAAATAACCAGTATATCATATTTTAACAACTAAGATTTTGTGTTTCTTAGGTATATAAATAAATTACTAATTGAGCAATTAAGGCTGCGTTTCATAATGTTGTTAATTATAATTTAATTATTTATATAATAAAGTATCTTACAATTTAAATCTCAAAAATAAACAAAATGACTTTTGCTATTCGCGGTTGAGATCGTTTTAAATTTTATTTTAAAGTTAATCTAACGGTTAGTATTAACATCTTAAATTTAATAGGAAAATAAGTCCATAAGGGTGTGTTTGGAATGATTTTTTAAAAGTATTTTTAAAAATTATTTCTCATAAATATTTTTTTTAAAAATAGTATTTGAAACCGTCTCACCACCACCGCGGCCACCTCCACCACTGCCACTGCCACCGCCGCCTCAGCCACCACCCCCACCACTCCAACCGACACCGCCATCGCCACCGCCGCCTCGGCCACTGCCATGCCCACCACCACCGCCACGCCCCCAACCATCACCAACGCCACCACCACCACGGTCATTGTCACCCACTACAACCATCAATATCTTTTACCACTACCACTGTCGCCCTCCACCTCTCATCCCTACTACAAGTCGATGCTTAAATTTTTTTATCTATTATTTATGTTTGTAATTTGATTTTGAATATGAATAAAAATATATTTAATAACTAGTAATTTAATATAACAGTTGTCTCGAGCCTGCTATCCAGATTTTTTTTTTCTGCTAAATATTAAATTTTTATTTCCGGATGCTTTTCATCAAGTGAGAAACCGGCATGCCATTTTCATATGAAAATCTGCAGACCCACTGATTTTAATTTTGAAATTTTTAATAAATTTTTGGAAAGGACAGAAAAATATTATAAACATGAAAATGGTCAATTCGTGAAAGATTAAAATCAATTGTAACACTCCAACCAAACCCATTGGACAGCCATAGATTTTTAATAGAAAATTTGTTGAAGCTTATGGTCTGTGATTGAAAACTAGTGGCCTGACAAGAAGATCCTAGAAGGATAAAATCAACCAATGTGGACGACTATTCTGCCTCTGCTTCTGCTTGTGCTTCTGCTTCTATGTGGTGATAACGCCAAATGAAACTAGGAGAACTTTCTAGGACTCGAACCAAAGGCGCACCTCTGGTTTTCTGATTAAGGGGAAATTAATTTTTTTCAACGGTCAGAGTGTTTGAATCAGTTTACAAATATTTTGATTAATCTCGTCTCGACGTGGTCATCTACACTGGAATTATAGTATTCATGACGGATAAATCTCTCGTGATCTGATCTTAAAAGATTATTAAAATTTGAATTTAAAACGTGTAAATTTATAACTCATTTTTATTATTATTTGAGCTACCTTGGAGTTAAGGGAAAAAAATTTCGGACATGCAAGTGTGTTTTTCAACTTAGAGGTGTTTATGTTGGAATTGTGCCACTAAACTACTCAGCTATTACAGGGTGAGTTCTGTATAAGTACCATTATCAATATATCATATTTTGATTTTAATCCAATTTAAATTTAGATTTGATTAATATGATGGTATTGGTATATTTTTTCTATTAAATTCGAATATGTTGTATAATATTTCACCTGTTTGGATTTAAATTTTTAAATATTTGATTTAATTGCGTCCCACTCGGAATTATATGTGATAAAACTGAGTTATTGTTTAACAAAATTAGGTTAAAATTTAGATAAACTTGCTAAAATTCATCTCAATTGAGTTATATGGGTCACATCCAATTTCAAATTTATTATAGATTCAGATATTGATTGTGAATATAATATTTGTTACACATCTACATTGAAGCAATCAATCGGATTTATTGACGCGATTCATTTATATATCGATTATACATGATTTATACACGTCACAAATTCGATATGATACGATTCATTAGACACAAATTAATAATCGAATAGAGTTAAATAGAATATTTTTTGACACGAACTCACTATAACCTTACAAATTACAGAAATACACTTGAATAAGTCTAAATCTAATATTGGTGCCTAAAAAAATGAACGAAGATAAACTCTAGACTCCATTACAGGTAGGCCACATCATGACATGTAATGTCATGTAATTTTGGTTTGTTTGCATATGTTCATGGAAGCATTATTGCATGCATGATGTGACAATCACAATGACGTTAGCCCACCAATACCAACTAATCTTAATTGTTTTTAAGAAAAACTCATCCTAAATCTTACGTCATTCTTTGTTTTGATTCCCATGATTTAAATATGTAATTAATAAAATATATTGAGAAAGGTGGAGATGGGGACATAAATAATACTAATCCACAGTCCAACATTTTGTTTAATTTTAGTTCGGGTTGACAATCAAACCATGACAACAACGTCAGGATTATCCTAATCACGACACACACACAAGGCAATTAATTAACACCAATATTCATATGAATAATCAATGTATATCCATTTATTACGGCATTAAATAAGGTCACCCGAGTGACTAGACAGACACATAGAAAAGACATCAATCACTCAGACAAATAGACCAAGCCAAGCTGTTCAATGAGTTCGGTGAGAAAGGGCTGAGTTGTTCGATGAGTTCAGTGAAAAAGAATCGAGTTGTTTGATAAGTTCGGTGAGAAAAGGAAGAGGTCGGTTCTCATTGTAATCGAACTGTTTGAAACAGTCTAATGAAGAGCAAAAGATTTGCCTATAACTCAGGCTTCCTGGATAAGTTAATAGGCTTAATTGTAGGGCAGGCCAAGAGGATTGCTAGAGAGATTCAACAATTTCCAAATAGAATCGCTGAAGTGAAGGAAGGTGTGCCACCTTGAATCAAGAATCATGAAAACCTTAACTAAACAGAAGATTAGAAAAGGCACAAGGAGCCAACGTGAAAGGTACGTTGAACTCTCCTTGTCCATTTGCAATTCAATCAATTTTATTACTAACTTAACATTGGAGTACCTTCGATCAAACACTTTGATCTTGGACAACTTGCTCATTTTACAGGGAAAAAGGACTGGAAGATCAAGTTCAAATACACTATTTACCTAAAAGTACCAAATCTTAATCCAATATGAGGTAATTTCATTTTTTGCCTCTTACAATTACAATGGCTAACGATTTTTCCATTTGATTTTTCAAATTGTCCACATTTTTACTGAGACACGCCTAGGGGTGCAAATCAAACGGATTAGATTGGTGGATAGGTTAGTCGGAACTACACTTATGTTTCGTTTGGTATGATGAAAAAATAGAAAGATAAAAAATTGGAAAGATGGAAAAGGTGGAAGAATATATAAAACATCATATTTGTTAAGGAAAAAAAAATATGAAGGATGAAAAAGTTGATGAATTAACTTTCCTTCCATCTCACCAAAATCAATTCCTCTAAAATTGAAAAAAAAAATGGATAAAAACTTAATTATTTGTGTTGAGATGTTTTATATTTGTATATCTTTTAATATATACATATATTATGTATACATTAATTTCATATAAAAATATAATGATATAATATGTATGCATATATATTTTTTAAAAAAATTTTAAAAATAAATTTAATAAAAAAAATCAAAATTAAATTTAAAAATTAAATTAAAATTTTTTTTTTATCTTAACTAGGGGTAAAAATTTTCAACTCAAGATGACACAAATTTTATGACACAAAGTTAATTATATCTCGACTCGAACTTGAAAATGACCTGACTCAACACGAATCTGACAACACTCGATTGTCACCTTTTATCTTATCCAGCACAAAAAAAATTAATAATAATTATTTTTATTTTCTATACATCCAATCAAATATAAAGGAAAGAAAATGTATTATTCATATTTTCCTTACTTAAAGAATAGAAAGTGTATTCCTCCTACTTTTCATCCTCCCTACCAAACGAAACATTAAATTATGAAATTCGATGCGAGTTTTATCCAATTTCTTCAACTTCAACTTAAGTATTGTCTATGCGTGAATTTTTGATGTGGACCGGGTAATATGAAATTAAGCACTTTGAAATTTTGAATATTTAGATAGATATTTCAGTATTTGCATTAGAATAGAAAAAAAAAAGAACTAACCAAATTTGCATTCGGATAATATTTGAGTTTGAGTTTATCGGGTTGCAGATAAATGGAAAGCAAAGTTTATTATGCATGTCCTATAAGCCCATATTCTAGTCCAAACTCAAGTTTCTGGGCTGGGTTCACCGGTCTATAGACAACCCTATACTCAAATCTCTCTTTTGTGGTGCAACATTATCTCCATGAGCAATTGCATTTGATGATTAAAATTTTGTTTTGAAATTATTTAAATGTTTGAAATATTTTATTAAATAAAATTAAAACAAACTAGCAGTTGAATTGAAATTTTAATATTGGAGAAATTACAAATAAATATTACTTTTCTCTACAAACATCAATGAAGTCCTATCATTTTTATTTTATATCAATGAAATTATATTTTTAATATTTTATTTCAATTAAGTTTTAATTCGATTACATTTCAATTTTATCCTTACCTTTTAGTTATAAAACACTTTTATTCTTTTGCATTTTTATGTCAACTCGACGGTACATTCTTAGCGCATTTCAGTGTCAACTGTAGTGGCACACCGTTGAGACTTTTCAATTGGTATTTGATGTGTTTTTTTTTTACAAGAAGTTAATTATTACTTTGATTAAGGTAATGTTATTATATTGTAGATTCTATTAATACATTATTCTGTTGGTTTTAAATAATTCAATTAATTTATATTAGATTTAAAATGAGTCTTTGATTCAATGGTACTCTTTATATTGTAAAGATTTTGTCTTCTTAAAGTCAAGGGATCAAGTCTCCCTCCTCCCC